CCAGGGAGCTGCCTGCTGCCATGCCTTCCCTCCATGATGGACTGAACCCTCAAACCTGAGCTGAAATACGCCCTCCCTCCCTCAGGTTTCTTCTTGTCATGTTTAGTTACAGCAACAAGAAAAGTAACTAATACAAAGGGCGGAATACAAGTAACGACATGGGAAAAGCCACGAGCTGAGTGTCATCACAGAAGCCAGTGAAGGTGCGGAAGGAGGGAACGAAGCGAACTCCACCCGGAGGAAGGTCAGAGATGCCCACAGGGAGAGGGAGCCAGGAAAGAACGACGGTGACCCTGCCCAGTCCTGGGAGGTGTCAACAATGAGAAACACTTTGTGGGGTTAAAAATTAAGTTAGAACAAAACACTTGACCAAAATAGCATGTAAATTTGGAGGGAAAGGGAAGGCACTTATTAAAATTTAATTTGGCTGAATTAAATATGCATGTTAGGGTTTCTACAGTGCACACTGAAGGAATAAAAATAAGATTTGGCAAGTTTTTAAAAATCAATACATAAAAGTTATTTGCATTTCCATAATGCATGCAATAAATGGAGGACATAATTTTAAAATATAATATTTACACTAGGCACAGAAAGATGAGCTCCACAAGAGGAAACTAACAGAAAGCATGTAATTTCTTCACGGACAAAATTGCATGACTTTACTGAGACATTTAAAAAACACTTGGAAGTGGAAAAATGGACTACTTTTGTGGATAGAAATGTAATATTTTAAACTTACCAAGTCTCCCCAAATGTATATAGAATTTTAATGTAATGAAGGGATTGTTTTTAATAGACCATGATGATCTGATTCAAAAACATACTCTGCCAGGGTAAAGTTCAAGAACAGCCGAAACAGGACTGGAGGGTGGTTCAATAGTTAAGAGCACCTGCTGTTCTCACAGAAGACCCGAGCGTGGTTCCCAGGGCTTATATGGCTGCGTACAACCATCTGTAACTCCAGTGCCAGGGGATCCAAAGTCAACTGACTCCCCAAGCACCAGACACATGCATATGTACATTCTTTAATTCAGGCAAAACACACACACACACACACACACACACACACACACACACAAAATGAATCTGAAAAAAAAAAAAAGAATATCCAAAACAGAATAGCCTGCTTAGTTCAGAAAGACAGACTTCACAAATGGTACTAGCATTATTGGATAACTAGGTATGGTGACCCACACCTGTGATCCCAGCATCTGTGAGGCTGTGCAGAATTGCTGCAAGTTCAAGGTCTGGGCTACAGAGTAAGACCCTGCCTCAGAAAGAACGCAAGCACACATGCAAAAGTACTGGATAAAAGCATGAAATACCATGAAGACAGAACAAAACTTGGATCCTTACCTCATTCAATATCTATCATAGAACTAAAAGTAAAAGTTAAACTATCAAGCCTTTGGGTAAATAAAACTTTCATGGGTCATAGAAATCACAATATTTTAAAGAACAGCGATAAGCTGATGCCCATGGACACTGATGCCCACGGACACTGTATTTGAAATTTTGCCCTTCAGAAAACATCATTATGAATTTGAAAAAGAAATTCTCATGCCGAGAAAAATTTATAATATATGCATCAAAGATCTATAGTCTCTAAATACCAGCATATATAAAAAATGTTTACAAATTAAAAAAAAAAACTAGCAGCCTAGGGGCTGGAGAGATGACTCCGCAGTTAAGAGCACTGGCTGCTCTTACAGAAGACCCCCGTTCAGTTCCCAGCACACACGTAGCAGCTAACAACTGTCCATAACTCCAGTTCCAGAGGATCAAAGGTCCTCTTCTGACCTACATGGGTACTGCATGACACAGGTGCACTTACATATATGTAGGCAATACAATCATAAGCACAAAATAATAATAAATATAATAGCTTTAAAAACTAGTGGTCTAAGCTCTGGGAAAAGGCATAAACAAAAAAGAAAACTATAGACCCATAGCCTTAATGAACAGAGATGCAAAAATTCTCAACAAAATACTTGCAAACCAAGTCAATAAATGTCATTAATCACGTAAATGGACTCAAAGACAAAAAACACATTGTCATCTCAATAGATGCAGAAAAGGCTTTTGACAAAATTCAGCATATATTTATGTTCAAAGTCCTAGAGGGAATTGGACTGGAGGGAACATATCTCAACTAAGTTAAGCTATTTACAACAAACCACAGCCAACATCATTCTAAATGGAGAAAAACTGGAAGCATTCCTATTAAAATCAGGAGCCAGACAAAGCTATCCACTATCTCCACTCGTTTTCAACATAGTGCTTGAAATTCTTGCTAGAGCAATAAGATAGGAGAAGGAAATTAAAGGAGTACTAATTGGAAAAGAGGAGATCAAACTATCACTTTTTGCAGCTGATATGATACTATACCTAAGAGATCCCAAAAGTTCCACCAGAAAACTCCTAGAACTAATCAACACTTTCAGTATAATGGCAGGTTATGAAATCAATCTGTAAAAATCAGGAGTCTTTCTATATACTAATAACAAGCAATTGGAGAAAAATACAGGGAAATGCTCCCATTCACAATTGCTGCAAAACAATTAAAATATCTTGGAATAAAACTGACCCAAAACACCAAAGATCTCTA